CCCCAAAACCCCAAAACCCCAAAACCCCAAAACCCCTTTCTTTAGCTAGCTAATTGAATCATGGGATGCCTTTTGTGGAGGAGAAAGTGCAAAAGGATTATCCTGTAGGTGTGAATAAGATTTCGAAGCTGTACTCTCTATAAGAGCAGGCTTATATAGGGAAACTCATGAGAGGATAACTTGTTGTGAACTAACTAGGAGAAGCTTCCTCTAGTGCCTCAATTTTGTAAATTAAGTGTAACTACCCATACTTCAAATTCTTTCTCTGAAAAGGTAAAGAATGAATTTTATGTTTAAAAGTCTTTTACCCAAAATTAGTTTCACAGTAGAGCTCTCAAGATGCTATTTAAGTGGTTTGGAATAGAGTTTGCATCAAGGATTTCTGCAGAGTCTACAGGTTAACAAAAGTATACCAGAATCTCACTGTCCAGAGTACTGATCTGGTGCAACAAGTGCTTAGGAGTTGGCGAATGGTCTTCATCAGAAGATGTATCCACATTCAAAGGAGCGCTATTTAGATGATAGCGTTTAAACTCTCTGCTTCTGTGATGCTTCTATAAACCTTACAGCTATTCTTACCTTTGAAATATTAGAGATTCTATCTTGAGTTCTTGGTGTCTTTGATGATTCTTCTTTTATAGAAAGCTCACTAATACTTTCGATGCTAAGTTCTCTATCTGATGCCTTCTTCTTTGCACCACAATTAACAGGCTTAATGCCCTGAATCCGAATTGTCTGTATTCTACTATTGTCTTTTATAAACTGTTTGTCCAGATAATCTGTGTCTGAAAGACTGACATTAGGCTTATTAATAAACTTAGAATTTTCAGCAGGAAACTTATTATCTTTCAGAGTATTGTCGAACAAGATCTTAGATTTTCCTGTTTCGTTCTCACAAGTGTAATTACCTGGTCTTGAAGTGCTATATGCGACCAGTCCTGAGCGCTCTCAGAATGCTTGGGGTGTGCTTATAGAATTTGGTATAAACGGCTTGAGATTATTGCCAGTCTCTACACCCAAGTCTGGCTGTTTATAGTGTATTGATCTGGAGTCTTCAATCGATCTCTCATAAAGAGAATCTTTAGAATATCTATTTCTTGAATAACTGTTCTCATTCGAAGGAAGTTTTTGAAATGGCTTGCGAGAGGTACAACTCTTATTCATTGACACATTGGACAACCCATGTGAGTCCAGTTGCCTACTATCGTGGTTTATTTTATTAGGGTACTGTGATCTCTTCCTCAGAGTCTGATAGAAATTAGTTTGATGGTCTAAACTCCCTGCTCGCTCAATAGACCCAGTACTTAATGCCAAACTATATGGAGCTTTAAGTGCCTTCTGATTGTTCAGAGCTTTATGTAAAGCTCTATATTTATGCTTATATTTCTTAATTCTCTTTTTATAACCTTTAACTTCATTTTTGAGGTCCTTCTTATCCTTGTACAGCCCTTGGATTGTCTTTTTATAAGCTTCAACCTCTTTTGCTAATGCTTGGGTCTTCCTAGCCTCCTCATTGACAGCTTTGTTGTCTACCTTCATTTGGTCATTTTCAGCCTGGATCTTTCTGAACTGCTGAGATAGTTCAGCATATCAATCTTGGTTGTTCTGCAGTTGGAATTTGTACTGATTATTCTGCTTAGTCAACTTATTTACAGAAAGTGCTGTATTTTGTCCTCATTGTGTCTATCAAAGCATTTTGTTTATGCATTATCCTCTTAAGTTCTTCACATTCCTTCCCAAGTGAGTCGTTTTGGTCACTAAGCTGACTGTTAGCATATTTTGTTTCTCTAAACAGTCTTTAAAGGGCCTACTTTAGAACCTGACGGAGCCCTAGAAGTTCTGTGTAGAGATCCTTGGAGCAGTCAGACCTAGAGGTAAGTGTATTAGGTTTTACCTTTCACTTTGTTCTAATGCTGAGTTATTCTGATGGTAATTCTCTACTTTCAGTGTCAAAAATAAGATTTAAACAGGTGAATTTTTCATTCATTTAAAGATGTTTAATCACCCACCTTTATGCTGGAAATACTCTTGAGGATCATCAATAAATCTGAAAGGCTTAAACTTCCCTGATATCTCACTAATTTTACTCCTATTTATCAGAGATTTCCATACTTAGGCTTATGTAAGGGCACATAGGAGTCCATGTCTTCCGCAAGATTTTAAATATTTGAATTTAAATTTCCTGCCTTATTCAATACTAAAATATTTTTTAGGGGTTTTGGGGTTTTGGGGTTTTGGGGTTTTGGGGTTTTGGGG